CAGTGCAGTGTTGAGGGGGGGAACATGAGTTGTTTGGGCCCTTTTGGGGCCCTGAAGGGCATTTTGATGTTAGAAGAAGTCCAGGTCGTTGGCCACGCGCTCACTGGTGTGTCTTCTATTGCTGTGAAGATGAATTGGGGAGTGGGTTGCTCTGGCACCTCGTCACAGACCATGTGCTGGGCTGTCAGCCGGGGCTGTGGCAGAGCTTTCAGGTGGTGATGCCCTGGGGAGGGGGGATTTCATTGCACTAAACTTGATATCTCTGTAACAACACAGCTTCTGATTCTCTGCAAGCCACGGTCCAGATCTGTCACATTGGAGTGACGTACTCTGAGGCACTCAGGTTTCCCAGAGCCTGTCGTTATTTTTGGTTTATCCCTTCCATATGGGCTGCAAGTGAAGGTAGCTTTTGTGCTGCTTGCCTGGCTCTCTCCAGCGGTGGGGCTGAAGGTTCTTTCCTATAGGAAGGGTCATAGAAACAGGTTGTAGGTGAGAGCTGAAGCAGGGTTCTGCGTCACACTGCCTTTGTTAACAGTGTACCTGGAGACGTATGGCTGCCAGATGAATGTCAATGACACGGAGATTGCCTGGGCCATCCTGCAGAAGAATGGCTACACGAGGACAAAGGAGTTGGATGAGGTAAGGCACTTTGGCAGCTCTCCTGTAGTGCAGATCTGCGAGGGCATCACACCACTGCTGTGCCTGCGAGTCCAGCTTTGTCTGGAGTGTAATCCTGCAGGATGTTTTGATTTTTGCAGTCTCAGTTCTGTGAAGTAAAGGAAACTACTTAATAAGTGTGCTAGAAAGATGTGGGCTGTCTTTTTTTCTTTAAACTGCTGGGTTCCTTCTCAGTTGGAGAGGGATTGGACACAGCAGGATGCCCCTGACTCCTCTTTGAGTTTACTTCTGCCGTTTAGTGGAAGACTCTGCTTGTCTTCTCTTAGTTTCTTGCACTTTTGTTTGTTGAAGCCCACTGCATACTTGGGCAGATCTTTTTCGCTGAGTTAAGTGAGTTTTGTAGTCTGCCTTTTCAGGTAACCCATGCAGGGCATGAGTTCTTACCGTTTGGCTTTTACAAATTCTTCTTCCTTTTTTGTTTTCAACTTAGGCAGATGTGATTCTCCTTGTCACCTGTTCTGTGAGGTAAGGAAACTTTTGTTATTGCTGGTTTTGGACAGTTTTTAAGGAATTACCACTTGAAAACCAAGGCAATAAATGTGTTGTGTGAGGAAAAGAGCATGCAGATGTGAAACTGCCTGTTTAGTTGAGGGTAGAGCTAGCTGATGCTACGATGTATAACTTTAATTGTGCTGTGAATTGCTTTTCTTTATAGTGAGAAGTAGTTCTTTGGTAGTGTAAGCTCTGTGTATATGCCATGGGCAGTTAGAGACCTGCATGGATTTGTGCTTTAATGATTTTATTTTTGTTTAATATTCTCCTGTCTTCTCTTGAAGTGACTGTCTCTCTAGTACAGGGTCTGTACTTCAATACTTTGGGAAAGGTATTTGGGGGAAATTTGGGATATAAATATATAGGGAACTTTGCTTGTTTTTTCTGAATGCAGAAGATATTGAACACTCGTTGTCACTTGCAAGGTAGCTCATAGTGGCTGGCTAAGGCAGACTTTTTCTCCACAAGAGCTGTCTCTGACTTGTTTCTGCAGCACAGATACTCCCAAACAAGCGAAACGGTAGTAGATAAGATAGACTCAAGACATAATCCGCACACCACAAACAACACTTTCATGTGCCATTGGATCCATCAAGTGGATGATTCCCTGTCTTTAGTTGAATTCTCCTCTCAAAGCACTTGGGCCGCCTCAGGTTGGAGAACTGTTAAAGCGCAACAAGCGGAATAACCACTGTTTTCCTGCCTTCCCAGGGAGAAGGCAGAGCGGGCTATCTGGAATCGCCTGCAGCACCTCAAGGCGCTGAAAGCCCGGCGGCAGCAGGCTCGCCTACCTCTCCGCATTGGGATTCTAGGTACCTGGCGGGATGTGCAGCAGTGGGTAGCACATGCTTTTGTGCCACATCCCATCGTGCTGCATTTCCTCTTCCCCTCTGGTGGCACCAAGCCTTTTCTGCAGGGTGAAAGCAGCTAGTGAAGGGGTGTGGAGGTGTCACGGGGGGGGGTGGACACTTCCTCACAAGGACCCTTCTCCTTTGGCGGCAGGATGCATGGCTGAGAGGCTTAAGGAGGAGATTCTGCACAGGGAGAAGCTAGTCGATATTGTGGCAGGCCCTGATGCGTATCGTGACCTTCCCCGGCTGCTGGCCGTGGCAGAGTCTGGCCAGCAAGCTGCTAATGTCCTGCTATCACTAGATGAGACTTACGCAGATATTCTACCTGTCCAAACTAGTGCAGGTGGCACAACAGCATTTGTGTAAGTACCTTTTTTCCCTGTGCATGTTTCGGTGGTTCTGGTTTGGAAATATGGCTGTGCAGAATAGACATGTCAGTGACAGCAGCTACCCAAGAGATGCAATGCCTGGTTGCACTCGCTCCCAGCAGCCCAGAGGCATGAGTCTACCAGACTGTGTGTTTGCTGCTGCTTTACTGTCTGACTGAGCCCTGGAGAGACTGCCCTGTGCTCTGGCTGTCTGCGGGCTTCTCTTACTCTCCTTTGAGAGTGCTGATTGTCTAAGCCTGACACTGCACCTAGTGATTTCTGTCCCACTGACATCTGTGCCTTTCTAAAGTCTGTATCTCTCTCATCCCTTGCCTTCTGCTATGTCCTGCCCCAGGTTCTCCTGTTTAATTCTTCTAATCCTCCATGCATTGCAACTTCTGTTGGTTTTGTTTCCATTTCTTTGGTTTTGATAATAAGATTCCCAAACCTGAAATCAGACTCTGCTCAGTTTGGCCATAGAGTACAGAAGAACAGTATCACCCTCTGTAGGAACAGGATGCAGAAGGATCTTTCATCACTGCCAGGCTGCAGTGCAAGTCTATGCCTCCTTAGTTGCTTTACAAGTTTCTTGGAAATGTGCATGACAAATCAGGAGGCGTTAGCTAGGGGCAAGTGGAAGCCAGCTCTGGCTGGAACGGTGCGTAAGGGGAAGCTGCAGATCTGTGTTCGGAGCTGGTGCTGTGTGTGCTACAGGCCAAGGGAGCTGGCTGAAGGCCAGGTCAAAGCAGGGTAGGATGCAACACAGATGATTCTTCCAGAGCAATTGTAGTATGACCTGTGCTTTACCTCTTGGCAGATCTATCATGCGGGGCTGTGACAACATGTGTAGCTATTGCATCGTGCCCTTCACCCGTGGGCGTGAAAGGAGCCGCCCCATCGCGTCCATCCTGCAGGAAGTGAGGATGCTCTCAGATCAGGTGAGGCAGAGCCCCCTTCCCACCTCCCCAAACCATGGGAGGAAGGATGGTTCCCAGTGAAAGTATTTTCAGTGATACCTTTGACCAATGACGCCGCCTTTGTCTGTGGACATGAGGTTACCATAGGGTTCAACCAGTGGCTTTTGGATTCTCCTTGTAATGCTCTGAGACAGACAGGGAAGGGAGGACTTCCCTTGGAGACTTCTCCTTAAAGTAAGGGTAAAACCGTGGCTGCCCTTGCAGCTTAACCGTCCTGACTGGGTTGTATTTTTTCCTCTCTGTTTATTTTTATAGGGAGTGAAAGAAGTGACCCTTTTGGGTCAGAACGTCAACAGCTTTCGAGACATGTCTGAAGTGCAGTTTCAATCAGCTGCCACCCCAGTCCTCAGTCGTGGCTTTAGCACAGTCTACAAAGCTAAACCGGGAGGCTTGCGCTTTGCACATCTTCTAGACCAGGTTTCTAGAATTGATCCAGAAATGAGGATCCGTTTCACCTCTCCACACCCCAAGGATTTTCCTGATGAGGCAAGTGTAAAATAAATGCCTGGACCTCTGCAGGCAGCTCAGAACTGCTAGATATGGGCTGTGCCTCCTTCCCGAAGGGAATGCGGAATCGCAGAATTGAGAACAGCAGCTCCTGGGAATGTTTGTGCTGAAGCTGGCAAGTTTGCAATTTGCTGGCTTAAATGGTGACACCAGGGAAGACACTTTGCTTTGGCATCCTGGTAGAGTCGAGCTGTCTGTGATGTTTGTCTCTTGATTGCTCGTCACAGGTCCTGCAGCTTATCCAGGAGCGACACAACATCTGCAAACAGCTTCACCTCCCAGCTCAGAGTGGAAGCACACGAGTCCTGGAGGCCATGCGACGAGGGTAAGCAAATGCCATGAGGAGTCCTGTGCCCTGACCTCTGATTTAGGGTGCTGGTTTCTCCTCACCAATGTCATGGTTTTCTGATTAGCAAATCCATGTGTTGCTCATTGCAGATACACAAGAGAGGCATATTTAGAGCTTGTACACCATGTGCGTGACTCCATTCCAGGTAGGTGTTCCCTTTAGCTTGGTCTGAGCTCAGCACAGCTGTATCTTGCTGTCCTTTCTTGAGTGGAGTGTTCCCCTCTTCCTTGAGGGAAGTGTAAAGCTGTGTTTCTGTTGCAGGAGTGAGCTTAAGCAGTGATTTCATTGCTGGCTTCTGTGGAGAGACAGAAGATGATCACCAGCAGACTGTGTCCTTGCTGCGGGAAGTCCGCTACAATGTAGGCTTCCTGTTTGCCTACAGCATGAGACAGGTGAGTGCAGGACCTGGTAGAGAAGACTGTTATCTCTGCGTGTCTCACCTAACTCCCGAGTGCTGCTTCTCACAGTAAGACTTTTTAAAAAATCTATTGAAAATAATACCTAAAGACTTGTTACATTGGTAGATTATTTTTTTTTTTTTCCTTTACTTGCATGCAACACTTCTAGGGCATGTGGTTCTGCAGGGGCCATCTTTGTGCCTGAAAGGCTTCCGGCTCCCTTGTGTGAGCATCGGGGCTGGTTACTGATTGCATGACCTGGTTCTGCGGATACTGCAGAGTGATTGCAATGAAGCAGCTATGTCTGCAGAGACCTGGCTACAGGTCCGTTTTTATTTACTGATGAGAAATTGTGCTGATGTAGCTGGGCTGGAGCCCAGCTACAGAGACTCTGTCAATCGAGTCTGGAGAGAAGTGGTGAATCTTCAGAAGGTATTTCCATGAGAAGAGTGAATAGTTGACAAGTGTCCATTAGAGTGCTCTCCAAAGTGTACGTTACTGATGGGGAAGAGGACAGGAGGTTGGGAAACATAAGCGAAGGAATATGGATCACCTTTCAGCACATGGGACTAGAAGTAGTAGAATCCATTGCCTATCCTTGTGTCTGTAGCCTGTCTGTCCACATCTCACGTAGGAGCTGCAGAACCACTTCACACAACCACCAATACTCAGCAACCTATATCAAACCTACCAAAAAAGTGGTACAGAAAGAATATGAGGAACTCAAGGATGTTGCTGGTGCTTAGCACCTGAAAACATTCCTTGAACTTGTAAATACAAACTGATGCGTGGAAAGCTGTTGCTTGAAGAGCACCCAAGCTGGCTGGGGTCAGACAAGGTTCTGATCTCAGACTATCTGGTTATTGAGGGGCCATACTTGCTTTGTCTGTTTACAGAAAACCCGGGCGTATCACCAGCTGCAAGACAATGTGCCTGCAGACATAAAAAAGAGGCGGCTGGAGGAGCTCATTACCGTCTTTCGAGAGGAGGCTGCAAGGGCAAACGAGGCGATGGTGGGCCAGTCTCAGCTGGTGCTGGTGGAGGGGGTGAGTGTGCTTGGAACGGAATTGTCCTTCTCCCCTCTGACTGGCCAAGAAACTCTTAGGCAGTACACAGGAATCATCACTTCTGCCTGCCCTTCTCACTTTCCCCATGCAGTCCTAGGACTCCAAGACCATGTCTTCACACATAAGCAGACAGCCTGATTTTTTCCAGAGCCCTGAGCTGAACACAGGGGAATGGGATAGGTTAGAGACATGTCTCTGGCCAAGCACTGAATTAGTGCAGGCTTTGAACCATTGCTTTTGGTGTGTGGGTGTCAACACAGCAGCTCTGGCCATAGGGCTTTGTTACATGCCGTGCTTAACAGCGTGGAATGTGGATTTTAATACTGGCAATAGTGCTCAATTAATTCCTGAGGCAATAAAGCCCAGCACTGAATCAGAGCTGTTGCCGTGCAGGTAATGTTCCCTGTCCTCCTTTCAGCCCAGCAAGCGCTCTGCCTCGGCGTTGTGTGGGAGGAATGACGGCAACATCAAGGTGATCTTTCCTGATGCTGAGATAGAGGATGCTGCGGGCTCCAAGGCTCTGGTCAGAGCCCAGCCAGGGGACTATGTGTTGGTGAAGGTGACCTCTCTGCAATGCTTGTTTCCGTGGGCTCTTTTTCTTGCACAGTGCTGTTCTCTAGAGCAGCTGCTGCCAGGAGAGCCTAAAATTAGAATGGATCCTCCTCAGCCTTTCTGTTCCTGAGGACTGTCGTGCTGTTTCTTTCAGGTAACCTCTGCCAGCTCGCAGACCTTGAAGGGAGTTCTGCTCTGTCGTACCACCCTCTCCCGCTCTGCGGCTCATCGTTGAAGTATCCCTGCTGCCAGTGGGCAGAAGCAGCACGTTTTCTCCAGGAAGAAACAAGGAAGTTTGGTCAGGTGGATATAGGGTAGAAACAGGGTGATATATGTATAATAGAATATATATATGAAATAATAATTTAATTTTTGTTTTGGCAACAACTGTGCCTTATAGATCCATGCAAGTTTGTAGGCAAAAGGGATGGAAGCTGTGCATGGACTTGCCAAATGCAAGTACTGTGTGATCTTGTATCTTCACTTGCTTTCAGGCTTGGCCCACCCTTGCAGTGCTGCCCATCTGTCCTCTGACTTCTGGTCACGTCCCGTAATGCAGCCCAGCCTGAGAAGTGTATGTCTGCGGAGCAGGTCATTCCTACTAGCTCGGCTGAATTGAGGAGCTGCCAAAACTGGTAGTGCCTACAACATACAGCTCCAGTAACCGCTGGAGCATGGCAGGAGTACTGCCAAAGGGGACAAAGAACTGAAAGAACAGGAGAAGATTGTGATGAATTCTTTCCAAATATTGGTAGCTTCCTTATCTGCAAAATGCTTGGAAAGGGCAAGTAAGAACCTGCACTGTGCCTGTATGATGGAACGTGGCACTGAACTGTGGAATATAAAATGGTATTTAACACGCAGGAGTGATGCTTGTTGTGTCTGAGGCCAAGGGAATGCAGCCTTGCCCTTTCACTGGGGATATTTGGATCTAGGTGAGAGAGAATTTCCCTGTTTCCAGGCCTAAGGGGATGCATGATAAGGGCTGGCTGCCAGCTGGGGGTTATCTCTAGCCTGGTAAAACTTTAGGTGCAGCTTTGTAATGCAAACGTATGTGGATGTCTTTCTTTTGCTCGCTAGAGGAGCGAAATAGTTGTAGCGATGTAAATGGCCAATAAGTTCTTCAAGTGCATCTTAGTTCCTTGTTTTTATCAGCCTGCAGCTAGCTCTAGCTGTGTTGTGTCACATTCCAGCCTGGTCTGCTAAATTCAAACAAGTACCTGTAACCTACACTTGTAAGTAAACTCTCCCTTATGAGATGTGAGAAAGAATCACCCCTTTTAATATAGATAATAGTGTCATTAAAAGAAATCATTGTAAAAGGCTCTATCCAATGACAAATTCTGAAGGAACAGCTGTTCAGCTCTTAATAGAGCTGTCACTACATGAATCTACAGAATTTTTAGGTAAACATGAAAGGGTTTTGCTAGAAAGCCTTCTCTCCTGCTCAGCTCTTTCTGGTGTATAATTGTATCTCTTTGAAAACAGTATGGCTCACTGAATATTCATTAGGTCTTGGTTTAAGAAACAAATACATTTTGCTTATCTCAGAGCTGATTCTCTTCTTGTAGAAGTGAATCTGCACAATCAGCGCTAGTCAGTGTGGGTTCTGAGGCGCTAACAGATACACGGTGCCATTCTGCTCTCCTGCCTCCAAACGGGAAAGTGTCTTGGGCCCAAGTTCACAAGCCAGGTCTTAGACCTCTGCTGCCTAGTGAGTGTAAGGCTTTGGCCACTGGCTTTTTAAGGAAGCGGCAGTGTGAAGCTGTTCAGTTTGAAATACCAAAGGGAGCAGCAGGATGCATAAGCATCATCCCTCAAAAGTGACAGGCACCGAAGCCAACATGTGCCTGCCAATTAAAACAACTGGGTACGTGGCCAGGTTTTACCTGCCCTGCAGCATCTCTTTCAGCTCGTCTTTCCCATGCATCTTGAAACTGTGGCCCAAGCCAGCACCCCCTGAAACAGGCTGACACCCACCTTTCACTGCTCGTTTTGACCTTCTCCTCACAAGCACCTCTCCCGAGTGGGCAGTGCAAACCATGGTGTGCCCTTCCCACTCCAGCCAGCTTTGAGGCCAGCTGCCGTCATTTTACAATCATCATTTTAAGAGCAAGAGACTAATGAGGAGGAGAGCTGGGTTTTATATTTTGATGAGAAGGTGATAATGCTCACTGCACAGACTCCCCAAGGAGCCATAGTGCTTACCATTTGCCTTGTCTCCTTAGTTTTTATAGGCCTCGGGAATGAAGGCTGAGGCTTTGAGGCAGCAAAGCATCCATTAGGAAGTGCTTACAGTGACCTTGGAGGCTGAGTTAATCATTTGGCACTGCCTGAAAGCAGGACTGTTTTTTTTCCTCGGGGGCTAGAGGTGGGATGCGGTTTCTGTATCGCTTATCAGATTTACTCCCTGAAATCAGCTGTTGGGGAGGCTGAACTTGTCTCATGTTCATTCTGCCTTGCGCTCATTCCTGTGCATTTCTTTTCCCAGCCTGAGCAGGGACGAGAGTCCTGAACTCCCCAGGACTTTAAATCTCCCACACTGATTTGTCCCTGGGCCTTCTGCGATTGGAAACTGCAGTGTTGCAGTATTTCGGCATCCCTCAGTGATGGGGGATTTGTTTTGCTGGGATTGCTGCTGCAAGACAGCTGTGGGTCCGAACTGAAGTACTGCTTGATATAAACATGTGCTGTGTCTCTGCTCTGTCGAGAAACACAGCTACAGGAGTCAGTACCCAGGCTTGGTGGGAACGTGACTGTCTGGGATTTGTTACCACCGAAGAGGCCTCCTAGGTTTTTATTATCCAGAGTGCAGTATTTAAAAGCCTTAATTTCAACCAATTTTGTAAGTGTCCTCATGAGATACATTTTGTAATGAAGCTCAGTCCTCACCTCTAGAATCCCACACTCTCAGAACAAGTTCTGGTGTGTCCTGAGGGGCCCCTGGAGACAGCAGCCCTATTATAATTTGAAAACTGGATCCTTGTCTTATTCTTTTGGAAGAGAGCTGCAGTCAGCCCCTGCCAGACTCCACTTGCTTCTGGGCACAGGAGGAGATGTTCCTCAGAGGCAAAACACTACAGGTTGGATGCTGGGAGGTATTTTGTTTTAGGGATGACTCGGGAGTCTTCCTTGGGTCAGACCCCTGACTCTAAATCCGTCCTCACTGTGTAGCCCCAGTGTTGTTCAGTGTGCTCAGCCTTCCTGTATTGTATCCACTGGCTTGGGATGGAAACTGCTGGCAATAACATCACCAGAGCAGAAGTCACCAACCTCAGGAAGCAAAAAAAGAAAAAAAAAAAGAAAAAAAAAAAAAAAAAAAAAAAGCAAGCATGTTAGAGCAATGGAAGTACTTATTCACATGGTTTTGGGGGTTATCTGCTTGCTCTTTCTGCTCTTTATATTCCTATGGTTCCAAGTTTATATTCCAGAGTGGATTTCCCAAGTCAAGGAGACCAACCACCTTTTAACCCTGCCCTGAACCATTCCCACAAAGTGCTGTGTTCAGGACACACCCTGGAAAAGGTACAGAAAAAGTCACGGCTGCGATCTATGTCGAAGTCCTGAGTCCTTGTCCCTATGTCCTGCCTTGCTGAGGCAGATTCTTTAGGTAAGAGCCAGGGGATTACCAGGAGGTGTGTGAAACGCACAGAACACAACAATAAAACGCCTTCGGTGAGGAGTCAGAGAGCCACGCTTGCCTAGACGAGGCCATTAGGAGCCGGTGGCCAAGGTGGTCGATCCTCACTTGCCGTCTGCAGGGCTGGGTGGCAAGGGCACTGCAGGGGAAGGTGACAGCTCCACAGCAAACCAACCAACCTGCTGCGAAAGCAGATTAAACTCCATCTGCTCAGAAAAAAGGCAAGCAGCCTCCAGCCTCTGGAGACTTCAGTTGGATGCACAAGTGAGACACGAAACGGCCCTCGGGATGCTCCTGCTGACTTGGGCTGTGGCACCGTCTGGGAGCCCTCCAGAACCGGTCACTGCCGTAGCTGTATCGGGAAAGCACCTCTGTCTGGGCGCGGCTGCCGCTCCAGCCCCGTCCAGCATTACTGGTACGTAGTGATAAAAACTGGGGTTTAGTGCTGCTGAGAACAGGTCTGTGCCGTCATCCATGCCCAGGCCAGCTGGGCTTCAGTGACAGCAACTGTTTCTGCCTTGGGCACAGGACAGCGCTGTCAGGCTCTGCAGCCCCTGCCCTGTAACATCTGCCACTTGGTTGGTTTTAATCTAGTTTCTGATTAAAGCGGAGTTGCATTCTGAGCGCAACTTCTGCTGCCAGAGCAAAGCAGCTCTGGGGACCCGTTCTCCTTCACACCCCTCTGACTCCCCGACTCCCTCAAGTCCCTTCTGATTTACAGCAGGACGGGGCCAGGCGCATAGGTAAGCATTAGATAGACCTTAGTGTTACACAGCAACGCACAGCGCTGGTAACGGCAGCGCTCTGCTCTGTCCCACAGCATCGCACGAGCCAGGACACACGTCAGTTCTTCCGGCCTGTCCCACCCCTGCGAAGCATCAGGATCTGTGTGGTGCCCGGTCTGCTGCCCTGGATGCGCTGAGCTGTGCAGGACATGCTGGGCTGTGGTCACTTCGGCATCTTGAGGGCTCGGCCAGTCCTTTCTGCGGTGAGCAGAGCCCTGCCCAGCCTCGCCTCTCCAACAGCTCCCTCCGTCCCAGGCAGTTGTCCCAGGGTCCCTCTGGAGAACACACAAACTCTTTTTTGCCACCGACCAGCCAGTTGTGCCCCAGTAACACTTGTGGGCAAACACCTAATGAGGAATTTGGCCGATCAGTTTTCTGAGCACAGGATGGCATTTACTTTCAAGCACTAGCCATGCCCTGAGACATCTGCTGACACCGGGATTTCACAACGGGCAACATGCACACTTTCCTTTTCTGTTTGCAGCGTGTGTTGGGTAAGGCTGGACGTCACCACCGACACACAAATAGCTTCACATGGTAGAAAAGTTGTCGTCAGAGAGAACAAGAGCCCGTTTGTTCTCTGGCCCCCACCACACAGCCCTAAAGAACAAATGTGTTGGTCCTCAGGTCTTGGCTGTGCTCAGGGAGAGGAGGGACAGACAGCAGCGGACACTTTTAGCCAGTGGGCATCTGCTCATCGCTGCCATTTATTGGCGTAAGGATGATATCAAAATAGATGCCCATCGCTGTCTACACTACCCCTACTCCGCCTTGCTCCCTTCTCCAAGGCTCTCTAAGCAGCTACGGCGG